CTGTATGCTTGCATCAGATGTTTGTTCACCCCTGTGTTATGAATCTTTATAGATGTAGGACTAATAGTAATAATCACGTTGTTGTGACCAATGTTGTCGACATTGCCATCTGTTTGCGCGTTGATATACCGGACATTGTCACTTAAGGCACGTAAGTTGGTATTTTACAGTCCCTAAACCCTTTATCTTATTTCCATTAATTTTTGTTTGTGAGGTCCTCCATTTCTCTCTTCGTACATCTACGGATAATTAGCGGATGGAGATGGCCTTCAGATATGGAGTGTATCTGCGAATATACTGAATAAGCATTCGCGGACGGCCGAAAAGTGATCCTCCAGCTTGGGGTTAGGCGTGGGGCGCACAACTCCTCACTGTAAAAAAAATAAGCTTGTTACAAAATGTCGCAAAGGGCATCGGACCTAGATGGATTCCTTTGGTAAATGACATAAGGTGAACAAAATGGACGTGAGATTTGGTACGTGGAATGCAAAAAGTCTGTACAGGGCAGGTTCAATCAAAACAGTAAAAATAAAAGTAAAGGTTTCCCTGTCACAGGCCGTGGAGGCCCATATGGTTGAGAGATGTTGAGGTTCCCACATTTTCTAGAAAAATCGGCTCATAGATGGCGGCAAAGGTTGTCAGCCCCACGCGCTGGCCGCCCTTTATCCCCAAGAATATTCCAACAATATTCTTGGTACTCGTTTCTGTTAGAGGCTGAGTCGATCCCAGGGCCATAGTGCGGCCGAAAGAATTAGATCAATTGAAAAAATGCAGTGACCTCATCGGGACTTGAACCCGCGACCTTCCGGCTTGTAGCATAGTGCCTCAACCAACTACGCTGCCGTGTGCCCCCATTTAAAACAGTTGCGAAAAAAATCAGAAGTTAGATTTGGTGGGAGTACAGGAGATCAGATGGGGCAGGGGTGGCACCGAACATACTTACGTTCTTACTTACTCACTCGTGGAGCTGAATTTCCCAGCATTTTATGGAATCCGACGGTTCATCACCGTGTTCACAAGAGCCCTCCTCTGCTCCCTGTCCTGAGCCAAATCAATCCCATCCTATCTTTCTAAGATTCATTTTAATATTGTCCACCCACCTACGCCTTGGTCTTCCCAGTGGTATCTTTCCTTCTGGCTTTCCCAACAATATGCTATATGCATACCTTTTCTCCCCCATTTTTGCTATATGACCTACCCTCCTCATCGTCCTTGACTTGATCATTCTAATTATACTTGGAGAAGAGTACAAGTTATGAAACACCTCATTATGCAGTTTTTCCTACCTCCTGTTACTTCGTCTTTCTTCAGTCCAAATATTCTCAACACCCTCAGCCTATGTTCCTCCCTTAATGTCAGAGACAAAGTTTTACACCCATACAGAACCACAGGCAAAATTGTACTTTCTTATATTCTAATTTTTATGTTTTTGGACAGCAGACGAGAAGGCAAAAGGTTCTGGACTGAATGGTAGCAAGCATTACCCGAGTTCAATCTCCTCTTAATTTCCTCCTGAATCAGGTTCTGATTTGTTATCGTCGTTCCTAACTATTTGTACTCTGCCACATTTTCAAAGCATCTGTTTCCTATCTTGATTTTGCCCTGCATTTTGGTGACGAGACAGTAACATATACTTAGTTTTCTCTGTGTTTACTTCTAGACCAACCTCCTTACTTGCGTCAATTAAAGTTTGTGTGTTTTTCTTTATGGTATCTACATTATTACCCAGTAGATTCACATCATAGGCATAGACCAATAGCTGATGTGTCCTGTTTAATTTCAGCCCCACCTGGTTTCCCTGGACCTTCCTAATTGCATATTCTAAAGCAACGTTGAAAAGGAGTGGCGATAAAGCATTTACGGACTTTACTATACGTCTCGTTTAAACAAATTTTAATGAGCCTAACTAGTTTCGTGGGTATCCAAAACTCTACCAGAATATTCTACAATACTCCCTCCTAACTGGATCATATGCTTTCTTGAAGTCTATGAATAGATGATGTACTGTCTCATTGTACTCCCATTTTTTCTCCAATATCTGACGAATGCAAAGATCTGATCTGTAGTAGATCTGTTACGTCGAAACCCACACTGCTGATCCCCAATAACTTCATCTATGTATGGACTTAACCTTGAGAGAAGAATATTGGACAAAATTTTTTTCATGAAATTGATAACAGTGATATCCCACGATAATTACTACAGTCAGTTTTATCACCCTACTTGTGAACTGGTACAATAACAGACTCCTTCCACTCATCAGGCAAATTCTTACTTATTGCACATACAATTAATTAGCTTATGGATCTTAGAACGTAATATTTCACCTCCTGCTTGAATCAATTCTGCCGGAATTTTATCACTACGTGGCGAATTATATACCTTTTGAATTTTTCAATAGCACTTTCAACCTCAAAATGGCTAGGATCAGGTACTAACGGCTCAGCTGTATGGATTTCTATCTGCCTAACATCACTGACCCTGTGTACATTCAATAACTGAGAGAAGTAGTTCCTCCACCTATTCAATATGTTGTGGGAATCTGCAAGCAGATCATCATTCTCATCCTTTACTAGGTTACTGCTAGGTTGGTAACCCCTCTTAAAGTCATTTATTCCTCTATACAGGTCTCTTGTTCTTACTGTTCATTGCAAGCTCATCAATTTTGCCTTTCAGATATTCCCTCTTTTTATTCCTGAAATGCTTGCTGGTTTCACGTCTTAATATTGTTCAGATTAACCCCATTTATTTCGCTTGGATCCTGTAATCATTGCAATTTGGCTTGTTTTCTTTGGTCTAATAGTTTTGAGCATCCCTTATCTAACCCTGGCTTATGCTTTATCAGTTCATAATAACCTAGACTCTCCTTGGCAGAAATTTTGATATTCTCTCTAATAGTTTCCCAACCTTTATTAACATCCACCTCAGTGTCCAAGTTTTCCAAAGCCGCGAATCTATTTGAGATTTCAACACAAGACTGCTCTTTACCCTCTACCTCATTTAATTTATTAAGATTGAACTTCTCCATATGAACTCTGTGCGTTGTTTGTTTGCTCACTGCCAGTCTTTCCCTAACCTTTTCCACCACCAGGTAGTGGTCAGGATCACAATCTGCTACCCTGAATGATCAGGCATCAGGTATACTTGAATGCCGTCTCCTATCTGCAAAGATATGGTTGATTTGATTGTGTATCTTCCCATCAGGAGATGTCCAAGTAAATTTATGGATGTTACGATGTGGGAACATTGTACTTTTGACAGTAAGGTTTTTCANACGAAAAAGCCTGTACCCAATTCATGATTTTCATTCCCGTTTTCATAGAAAAATGTATATTTGCCTGCTGGTGCGCTGCCACCTCCGTCCCTTCTGACCTCCTGTACTCCCGCTAAATCTAACTTATATTCTAAGATTTCTTTTGTCACTGCCCTGAGCGAACCTGCCCTATACATATTTCTGACGTTCCAAATAGCGAATCTCTTGTCCGTTTTCTTTAACCTAGGTCGTTTATTCAGAGGATCCGCCCAGGTCCGAGGCTTTGTGTTCATTTTTGTAACACGATTATTTTTTTACGGCGAGGAGTTTTAGCCTCACGCCCAACCCCAAAGCTGGAGGACTACCATGTGTAGCCGTCCGCAATTGCTCATTCAATATATTCGCAGCTTCCCTCCAAAACTGGAGAGCGTCTCCTCCATCCGCAACCTGAGGACGCGCCATGGTGGCACCGAACTAGCAAGCGAATATGCATTTTTCTATGGAACTGGGATTGAGAATCATGAATTAGCTATAGATATTTTCATATATAAGGGAATCGTATGAGGTCTTGTGGACATGTTAATGATCCTTCTGGTTCCATAAATTTCTGGGAAATTCTTGAGTAGTTGCCCATTTGGCGGCTTCTCAAGAAGGGCTTAGCTCCATGAAGGTAGTTAGAAGTTTGTTAGTTACGAATTACAGAGTTAACGAGGACGTAAAAGGTAATCGATATGATCCCTTTTCTGATACCACCCCATAATTTGCCTTGAGACTAGAAGGTGCGAAAGCCTCGGGATAACTCATCTCTCGGACAAGATTGGAACCAGGGACCATCAAAGTTAACCACTATGCTTGGAAGTTCGCGCCATTAGGCCTATAAGTGGACCCAAACGTTGTATTTCAGACTGAAGTTATAGTTGAAACGGCATTGCGAAATAACCAGTTAGAGATTCCTTGTAATGTATACTTCTGCGAACGTATCCAGCATGTTAAGTAGGTCACTCCGAGTCAAATGGGTGAAGTCTGAACGCATTTAGCAGTCAGGGGGAATTTGCTTTATCTGCTTTATCCGCAAGAAAATCAGACGATGACACGGCAGTCTTGAGAAGTTAATGTGTGTATGCGAAATTTGTGACGTCATTGCACGAGAAACTTTTTTAGATATAGTAGTAGCGACGCACATTCCATTCCACTGCAAACTGCCAATAATTGCAAAACCAGTTTACATTGGCTATATGATTGTGCTGTTGCTGTATTGATCTGGCGCCGGTCGTCAGGGAAGGGAATGCACCACCATCACAATAACGTAGCTTCCCCTCCCCAATTCTATCTGAATTTTATAAACAAACCGTGCAGCATTCATCCAATATTGATCTCGTATAGCGTAACAAGTAATTATATTAATATATTGAGTAATTTATGAAAGAACGTTTTATGGGCTATGCCCCTTTTCTCGCGCAAAGATGTTGTCATTTCAGTGGCTGGCTTTGTCTCCGTCTTCAAATAGAAGGAAAAATACCTCTTCTACCTGAACACGAAGATAGAGCCGACTCTAAAAGGGAGAGCTACTGTTATACCTGAAGGCGGAATGTACAGACTTTTTCATTCTGTATTGCAGACATTTGCCATGCGGAATCGCTTCGCCCAACAGCTTCCTGTCCCAGCAGAGTGGCACCAAGCCCGACCCCGAGGAGGACAAGCTCTTCAGCCTGGGCCAAAGATATACCTACTTCCAGGAAAAGCCGCCAACCAGCAAAAACGTAGAAATCGCGAATCCGCAACCGTTCCATCTGAGAAGGACAATCCGTCCACCAGCGCGCTACAAGAACTCACGTATGACAGTTCGCCTCCGTCCGCGCCAGGTGTTGTGTTCAAAGTGTCGTAGCATCTGCAACGAGAACTCCGAGAATGTGGACCTCTCGAGGAAACGCAAGGGAGCGGAGCAGATGGCGAAGGTGGAGAAAAGGCTCTGTTCCCCCGGCGAAGTGCCGTCGAAAAGCCCTCGACCATTGTTTTCGGAGAACCAAAGTGACAACCAACCTGTAAAAAGTGCGAGTCCCCCTTCGGAAAATTCAAAGATGTGCCCTTCTCTCATTCCCAAAATATCAAGACTGCAACCAACTGAAATTTCCAATGCCTTAAGTGGGAATGTAAACAAAATAAAAATTGTAGAAAAATACTGGATAAGACCGACCGTAGGCCCTCAGGTAGATAGTCTCAGGGAATCGGCCGAAGGGAGCAAAAAAGTATATTGTGTTTCCATGGACCCCAAAATGCTAGTCGAGGACCGCAATTGTGACTCTGATCATTCCTCTGTACATAATGTTGTGAGTGGAAAGACTGAGGAGGAGGAGGAGGAGGGGGATGAGGAGGAAGAAGAGGAGGATGTGACGTGGCCGGCTGACAGGGCGTCCTCCATGCCGGGACTGGTAGACGGCAAGGAACGCATGGTCCTGCGCAAGAAGCGTAGCGTGGGCTCCATGGAGGACTTGTGGGACGAGAGTGTGTTTGAGGATAGCATGCGAAAGGCCCGCAACGCGCGCACCACCCCTGTCATCAAGATATCTTTCGGAACCCAGGGTGAGGGTACCGTGCTAAAGATTCCAGCCAAGGTACAGAAGTACATTCCTAGCGAGAGTGAGACAGAGGACAAGGCAGACCAGCAGAAACAAAAGACGAAGGACGCGAGCGCGAAGGCTGCCAAACGGGCGCTTAAGAAAGCGAAGAAGGAGGCGCGCAGAAAAATGATGAGCGCCAGCGGGGCATCACCGCGGTCCCTGAGCGGGGGATCCCCGGCCTACGCCCTAGGAGGCACTTCCCCGGCATATGAGGCGCTATACCACCGCAAGCACAAGCACAAAGTAAAGCACAAAAAGAAGCACAAGGAGGAGCGACGCCACAGCAAGGATGAGGCAGGGGGGACAATGCTGGTGAAGGGTGTCGGGGACCCAAAGCGTTGGAACATTCTGGCCCCCAGTGACTCGTATAGCGCTATCAAGGAGCGGTGTCTGAAACAGAAGTTGTCTATCAGCCTCAAGCGCCTCAACGCAAATGCCTACATGCGCTGTGACTATCTGGGCTCAAACGGTTCCAAGAGCCCTGGGACTAGTAGCTGCAGCAACTCTGAGCTATCCGATGATCATGGTGAGACAGTGCCCGATTTCCCACCACCAACTAGCCACCCTCTCATGATGCGGATATCCACCCAGACGGTGGGCTGGTGCATCACTGGTGATGGCCGACGGATGGCCGTGGGAGATGTCGTCTGGGGAAAGATCCATGGCTTCCCCTGGTGGCCAGGAAAAGTAAGGACACTGCCCTTTTTCTTACTACTACATGGTTATCTTAGTTATATCACATCTGGATACCTGGTTGAATCCCGGCCATGAATCAAATTTCATTATTTTTTTCCATATTCTCGAAGCATATGCTGATAATTGTATTATCGTAGTACATATAACATAAATTAGGGTTACTTCTTCATGCACACATCACCTCACAAAACAACATTCTCGTCTATAATTTTATCATGTTTTAACCTAACCAAACATTTCGATATAGTGGTTAGCACTGCTTTTCACATTTGAGACGTCCTAAGATGCATTCTTGGCCCCTGAAATGGCCATATCAAATTAAGTTTTCGTTATGTTCCTCAGTCACTCTGAATAAATGCTGGATAGTACCTTTAAATAGGGTTTCCTTCCCTATTGCTGCTACTGTTGTGGTGCTGGTCCTTGTCAGTATCATAACAATAATTCAGAGTCATTCTACCATTCAGTGGTATGTAACTATTGCTGTCGGGAAAGCATCTAAGTAGAATCGAACAGGAACAATATCTCTTCATACAGCAGGAAACGAAGAGAGCAATATAACTTTTGTAGATAATCTGTTCTTTCCTTTTGCTCCAGTGCACTATATTCCAGCCAGGCAGCTCGTAGTAAGACAGTAACGGTGACTGCTGTTGACAAAGATAACGCTTGTTACTAACAAGTTACACCCATTTTTAGAACTGTACTGTGAAGGTGTGTAGGATGAGCAGAAATAAGTTTCCGTGAATTCTTAATGTCAGCCATTAACTAAGTCAAGAGATTTGCTTCAAGTTTCAGCAGTCTTTGCAGTCCATGGAAAGAGTTGCCATTGTCTAGTGCACAGAAGGATGTAGGAGCATCAGAACCATAATAGGCATAACAGGTTCTCACCGGGGAACTGAACCTTGGCCCCATAGGCATTAGCAGTTGTCAAGGTCCATGTTAGCTTCACTGTGTCTAACCCTTATTAAGACAGTTTTAGGTAAATTCCATTTGCTTAAGGTTGTCACGCATTCTAGGTTTATGTGATATTGGCCATAAACCTTTCAATTGGGACATTGTTAAATTTCAGTATTCTCAAGGTTTGTTACCTCCAAATATATTTCTGCTCACTTGCATACCTATAGCCTGCATAAGATTTTATTACGTCCTGTGGTCCTGCCATCCGGTGGCCTGTCACTTTGTGGTTGTACATGGGAAACCTAATGTCATCACACTGTGTACTGCTGGAAAATATGTGGAGAAATTGATCATTAAATTGTATAATTATTAATTTCTAATGCCTGTCAAATCGAAGCATTCGAAGGGAAATAGACATAATTTTTTTCCCCAAACGAGTTACGTTTTTTTATATAGAAAGATAAACTCGAATACCTACCATATGTGACGGTGTGAAACACAGAGTCTTACTTTCAATGAACATAAGTTATGATCTTATGATAACATAAGTTATGATGATGACCCATCAAAGAGAGATGAACCAAGTGTACAGCCACGGGAAACTAGGAACTCTCTGATGTACAGCTGTTTTTAATAGTTAAAGAGATTACAATGGGCAGAGCATATAGATTGGATGTGAGAAATAAGCAAATGATAAATATTTTGATGGCGAAACTGTAAAACTAACGGAGAATGGGAGGATAGAGTTCGGAGAATCCTAGAACATGATAGGATCCAATGATATATTCTGTTGCAGTGATTCTGTTAGTCAGAAGTTGGATATTGCCTGATGGGCTAATAGACTGCTTGGTTTTGAACCTGTTTCATAACGCGACAAGCATGTGATCAGTAGTCGGCTGCTGAAGATGCCACACACAAACATCCTTGTTCTTGTGGGCTGCTAACCACAAACTACGGGACTGGAACTATTGGATCGTCGATCTGTGTCTAATTCTGTCGTTCAGAGCTAATGCACAATAATCAGTAACGCAAAGTAAAACGCTGTTCTGATACCATAACAGATCGATAATTGGAAGCCATTCTACGGGGACATGGGGTTGCTGGCGGAAGTCGTATCCATGCCGACGACAGTGGCACAGACCTGACAAGCAATACGGTCAGTTTGGAATTCTGGACGTAGAACATCGAATATCGAATGATCCGGAGACACGGTTTGAATCGCCGGTTGACAGCCCGTATTATCCGTAGAAAAATAAGACCCTCCCAGCGGAATTTTATTCTTTTCACTCCCCGATCATGTGACAAATGATCGGAGATACTGCCACAGACTGTNGAGAACCAAAGTGACAACCAACCTGTAAAAAGTGCGAGTCCCCCTTCGGAAAATTCAAAGATGTGCCCTTCTCTCATTCCCAAAATATCAAGACTGCAACCAACTGAAATTTCCAATGCCTTAAGTGGGAATGTAAACAAAATAAAAATTGTAGAAAAATACTGGATAAGACCGACCGTAGGCCCTCAGGTAGATAGTCTCAGGGAATCGGCCGAAGGGAGCAAAAAAGTATATTGTGTTTCCATGGACCCCAAAATGCTAGTCGAGGACCGCAATTGTGACTCTGATCATTCCTCTGTACATAATGTTGTGAGTGGAAAGACTGAGGAAGAGGAGGAGGAGGAGGAAGAAGAAGAAGAGGAGGATGTGACGTGGCCGGCTGACAGGACGTCCTCCATGCCGGGACTGGCNGGCATCACCGCGGTCCCTGAGCGGGGGATCCCCGGCCTACGCCCTAGGAGGCACTTCCCCGGCCTATGAGGCGCTATACCACCGCAAGCACAAGCACAAAGTAAAGCACAAAAAGAAGCACAAGGAGGAGCGACGCCACAGCAAGGATGAGGCAGGGGGGACAATGCTGGTGAAGGGTGTCGGGGACCCAAAGCGTTGGAACATTCTGGCCCCCAGTGACTCGTATAGCGCTATCAAGGAGCGGTGTCTGAAACAGAAGTTGTCTATCAGCCTCAAGCGCCTCAACGCAAATGCCTACATGCGCTGTGACTATCTGGGCTCAAACGGTTCCAAGAGCCCTGGGACTAGTAGCTGCAGCAACTCTGAGCTATCCGATGATCATGGTGAGACAGTGCCCGATTTCCCACCACCAACTAGCCACCCTCTCATGATGCGGATATCCACCCAGACGGTGGGCTGGTGCATCACTGGTGATGGCCGACGGATGGCCGTGGGAGATGTCGTCTGGGGAAAGATCCATGGCTTCCCCTGGTGGCCAGGAAAAGTAAGGACACTGCCCTTTTTCTTACTACTACATGGTTATCTTAGTTATATCACATCTGGCTACCTGGTTGAATCCCAGCCATGAATCAAATTTCATTATTTTTTTCCATATTCTCGAAGCATATGCTGATAATTGTATTAACGTAGTACATATAACATAAATTAGGGTTACTTCTTCATGCACACATCACCTCACAAAACAACATTCTCGTCTATAATTTTATCATGTTTTAACCTAACCAAACATTTCGATATAGTGGTTAGCACTGCTTTTCACATTTGAGACGTCCTAAGATGCATTCTTGGCCCCTGAAATGGCCATATCAAATTAAGTTTTCGTTATGTTCCTCAGTCACTCTGAATAAATGCTGGATAGTACCTTTAAATAGGGTTTCCTTCCCTATTGCTGCTACTGTTGTGGTGCTGGTCCTTGTCAGTATCATAACAATAATTCAGAGTCATTCTACCATTCAGTGGTATGTAACTATTGCTGTCGGGAAAGCATCTAAGTAGAATCGAACAGGAACAATATCTCTTCATACAGCAGGAAACGAAGAGAGCAATATAACTTTTGTAGATAATCTGTTCTTTCCTTTTGCTCCAGTGCACTATATTCCAGCCAGGCAGCTCGTAGTAAGACAGTAACGGTGACTGCTGTTGACAAAGATAACGCTTGTTACTAACAAGTTACACTCATTTTTAGAACTGTACTGTGAAGGTGTGTAGGATGAGCAGAAATAAGTTTCCGTGAATTCTTAATGTCAGCCATTAACTAAGTCAAGAGATTTGCTTCAAGTTTCAGCAGTCTTTGCAGTCCATGGAAAGAGTTGCCATTGTCTAGTGCACAGAAGGATGTAGGAGCATCAGAACCATAATAGGCATAACAGGTTCTCACCGGGGAACTGAACCTTGGCCCCATAGGCATTAGCAGTTGTCAAGGTCCATGTTAGCTTCACTGTGTCTAACCCTTATTAAGACAGTTTTAGGTAAATTCCATTTGCTTAAGGTTGTCACGCATTCTAGGTTTATGTGATATTGGCCATAAACCTTTCAATTGGGACATTGTTAAATTTCAGTATTCTCAAGGTTTGTTACCTCCAAATATATTTCTGCTCACTTGCATACCTATAGCCTGCATAAGATTTTATTACGTCCTGTGGTCCTGCCATCCGGTGGCCTGTCACTTTGTGGTTGTACATGGGAAACCTAATGTCATCACACTGTGTACTGCTGGAAAATATGTGGAGAAATTGATCATTAAATTGTATAATTATTAATTTCTAATGCCTGTCAAATCGAAGCATTCGAAGGGAAATAGACATAATTTTTTTCCCCAAACGAGTTACGTTTTTTTATATAGAAAGATAAACTCGAATACCTACCATATGTGACGGTGTGAAACACAGAGTCTTACTTTCAATGAACATAAGTTATGATCTTATGATAACATAAGTTATGATGATGACCCATCAAAGAGAGATGAACCAAGTGTACAGCCACGGGAAACTAGGAACTCTCTGATGTACAGCTGTTTTTAATAGTTAAAGAGATTACAATGGGCAGAGCATATAGATTGGATGTGAGAAATAAGCAAATGATAAATATTTTGATGGCGAAACTGTAAAACTAACGGAGAATGGGAGGATAGAGTTCGGAGAATCCTAGAACATGATAGGATCCAATGATATATTCTGTTGCAGTGATTCTGTTAGTCAGAAGTTGGATATTGCCTGATGGGCTAATAGACTGCTTGGTTTTGAACCTGTTTCATAACGCGACAAGCATGTGATCAGTAGTCGGCTGCTGAAGATGCCACACACAAACATCCTTGTTCTTGTGGGCTGCTAACCACAAACTACGGGACTGGAACTATTGGATCGTCGATCTGTGTCTAATTCTGTCGTTCAGAGCTAATGCACAATAATCAGTAACGCAAAGTAAAACGCTGTTCTGATACCATAACAGATCGATAATTGGAAGCCATTCTACGGGGACATGGGGTTGCTGGCGGAAGTCGTATCCATGCCGACGACAGTGGCACAGACCTGACAAGCAATACGGTCAGTTTGGAATTCTGGACGTAGAACATCGAATATCGAATGATCCGGAGACACGGTTTGAATCGCCGGTTGACAGCCCGTATTATCCGTAGAAAAATAAGATCCTCCGAGCGGAATTTTATTCTTTTCACTCCCCGATCATGTGACAAATGATCGGAGATACTGCCACAGACTGCTGCTGTTTTTGAGTTTCCAATCCACATTCTCAGCACTGGAACCATTTTCCGGTAAAAGTGGCTTTCTCGTTTTCCAAGTCCGATTAGACAGATTTTGCTGCGTCGATTAACATCACCATGTTGCTTGAGAGAGTGGAGGTCATCTTCCATTGCAAAATGTGACTTGCATCGAAGTAGGTTAAAAATCGTTGTGTGACGTACGAGATAACTCTCTCGTCTCGTGTAGCGGCGTGCTACAGCGCGGTTCGTGAAGTCCCTGGATGTGCAAACATTGGATCGGTGGTTTCTGGGTTGCATTTTCTCCCTCATCAACCGAACAAACAACTGTACATGGTGAAGGATCTCTCTTGGGAAGTTGATGATTAATCAGACGATTAAGGAGATCCTTTCTTAGTACAATACCGAAACCTGAGCTAGGCGAACATAGTGCATATCCTCCCATTCCTTTTCTCCAAGACCAGTTTTAATACGCTCTTCCCATTTATGCCTAGGTCTTCCAAGTCGTCTTCTTCCTCAAGGTTTACTGTCGTACCAATGCGTAGACGTACTACATGACCAATATGTATTTTTTAATAGTGTTAGGTAACAGATGAAACTATAGAGGTCCTTGTCATGTAATTTTTAGATCAACTTCCTCCTTTTTATAAGCCGGGATAGCGCAGTCGGTATAGCGACTGGATACGGGTTGGACGGCCGAGGAGTCAGAGTTCGAGTCCCTGTAGGGTCAAGAATTTTCTCTTCTCCACGTCGTCCAGACCGGCTCTGGGATCCACCCATCCTTCTATCCAATGGGTACCGGGGGCTCTTTCCTCAGGGGTAAAGCGGCCGGGGCGTGAAGCTGACCACTCACCTCCAGCCAGTACCGAGGTCGAGAAAATGTGGATACATACATCCACTCCCCCATACGCCTTCATGTACTTAACCTTTATGTTCTCCCTTTTAATGACCAGTTGTTCCTCTCAGCACTTTGTTCTCAAACACCCCAAATATGTGTTCGTCCCTGAGCCCTTTTCATGTTTTCCTCATTTATGTAGTGCCGAAGTGTGAGAGCTCTGCGTCCCCCGTATGCATTCATAGCGACTATATAGTAGCTAGTACATAGGCTCTGCATAACGTATGACTGATTTCGCATACCGAGTTAGAAGGAAACAGTGGTGGACGTGACATCAGTTGCCGTGTTGGGGACTTACAGTCACAATAAATCGTGAAGAACCATGTTCAGATGAAGTAGACGTGTACGCCTACATGCCCTCATGCTTTTCAGATGGGTTATTTGCTATTTTGTATGCCTAATTGGACTCGATATTTTCATTTATAGCAGATGCAGTGAAACCTGTCATAGTTGGTCGCATTTTTACGGACCTGGCAAAACAATGTTAATCCTTTAATTTTGCTGCCACTTTTCTCTCTCGTATCTTGACCACCTTCTTCCATTTCATGCTATTATTTTGTATATATTTTAGCTCTTATATGATGTAGCACACAGAGAAGTGAATACTTTTTGTGCTAGTCTGTAAAATGAAAACTTTGTCATCCATATGCCCCTTCTCTGTACTTGCTGAACAACCTTTCTTCCCTCTGTCTCTGTGCTATCAAAACACATTGGAAATTTCATCTTTCTGAAGAGGTCTGAGATATAATGCCATTTAGTCCGGCGATAATCTGCCGACGTTTCGGAGAAACGTCGTCTCCATTTTCAGAGTGGAAGAATAAGTCAAGCAGGAAACCAGCATGAAACAGGCAGCAAGCAGAACAAGTTGAAGACTGAGGCGACGTTCCTCCGAAACGTCGTTTAACTTTCACCGGACTACACTTCATTATGGCCCAGAAGAAAGAACTCTTCATGTCGCTGCTGTGGTGACCTCAAATGCGACTTTGCCCTCCCGTTAATAACGCGGTAGAAACGTATTTTTCGTTTTGGAAGAGGAAGTTTTCTCTGTCTCTTTGGCTTCCCCAAGTACAATCCAGTCACATATAAAAATACCTGTCCATGTGCCAATCTGTGGTCATATCATGCCATTCTTTCTCAAAGAGTCCCCACACAGTCCTTTGTAATAGAAAATTAAGTATGATTATGATTCCGAAGGCTTAGAAAGCGAATTAAAGCAAGTAAAAAAAAAGATGTAAAACAGACGGTGTATCTGTAACTATGCGCGTTCTGAAATGTTCTCAGATGTTTAGCATCGGGGCAGTTGCAGTTGTCGCTTCAGTATGCAAGTAGTGGTCACTATAGACAAAAAATTGAAATGTTAACACTGCATTCTGTAAGTTGGTCGCGTTTGAGTAGAATTATAGGTGGCCAATATAGAGAAGTTTCACTATTCAAACGTGTTGTTGCAAAGCGAATCGTACTACAGACGTCACTGCATAAGACCAGGCATTCTTTGTCATTATATTTCGTAACGTATACCCCATAATCGCAAAATTGTTCGAATAAAAGTGTAGATATTAAAAGATCTTTAGTTTATATCATATACAGATTTTATTAATGCGATGACCAGTTTTTAAAAACATGTAGAAAACTGGGTTTAAAGTTGTGATTTGTAGGGCCAAAATCCGTCCAACAACGTTTTCTGGAGACTTCTAGTACTTAATTGTATCGAAATTCGTTAAACAGTTTTGGAGATAGAGCATACAGACACACCATCCCCATTATGCGTTTATTTTATATACTTATATGAAAGAATGTATTTTTCTTCATCGTCAGTATTCACGGTTTACGCTGTCAAGCATGGACTGGTTCAGAAACAGTTCTGAAAGAATGA